CGCACACACACACCAACACACACACACACACACACACACATACACACACATATATAGATATATATATATATATATATATATATATATATATTAATTATAGCATAATATTATAATTAATATTTTTTTTATCACTTCATTTATTATGAAAAAATAATATATTAATTATTTTTTTCATTAACTCTGTTGAAACTTATTATGCACGAACGATTTATTTTAAAAAAATTATAAGAAATTTTGCAAACAACGTGTTTTTTTTAATGAATTTTTATGCAAAATACATAATAAAATCTACAAAAAAAAAATCATAAATTTCTAGTAATGATTATTAATAATGGAGAGAAAAACATTAAAATAATATTATATAAGTTATTATATAATTTTTATTATATGTGTATAGCGATAATACTATACAAGAACACGTACGCAAGCAACCAGTTTCAATCAGAACAAAGTTAAAATCAAAGCCAATGATTATGAAGACTATCAAACATTCAATAGTCAACATTTACTGCATTGGTTGTTGGATTGGTTCCATACCCAATGTATAAGGATAAAGGTGGTACCATATATCTGTGCGTGAGTACTGCTTCTAGAAAGGTCCAATTAATGAGTGTGGTAGAAAGAGCGAGTTTTTTTTTTTTTTTTTGGTTTAATTCAAGAAGGAACAGTACATACACAAAGATGACAACATACAAACTAATCCACAACATTGATTGACCAACAAAAAGTTAATTGAACTAAACCAAATTAACTAGAGAAGCGAATAATAAGAAAGTATCATAGTCCATGTCCATCCTTTTCTATATGCGCATCAAGCTAATTAATTAAGAGAAATGTTACTTGGCAACAATTTTTACAACAATGAAAAAGAAAGCGAGAAAGATCATATATTGTTGTAAAAATTATTGTATCAAACACACAACTCATTAGTTAATTATTAGTTTTCTTTGGTAAAGCAAAGGAAGTGAAAATTGATGCTGTGGCAGTGAACAAAAATCCAACTAGAAGAAGGCTGGCTGAAACGTTAGCCTTATGAAAAAAGGTGTTCGAGGGAAGTTCTCTACGAAGCTCTACATTCAAACTTAATCCAGCAGTTGAACCCGAAATCAGGAAGTATGATATGATCTGTATCCATAGAAATTAAAAACGCAAAGTTGTTAAAAATGACAATATATTAGGCCAAAAAAATTGTTATTAGTTTGAAGAACAATATAATCGCAAAAGCTTGATAATTAATAATTTGTTATTATGACATGATGTACCTTGTCACCAAAGAAATCAAATAGATAGCCACCATCACTTCTTAATACACGCTTTCCCGAGACCACAGTGAAGATTGAGAATGCCAATTGCAGGAGGTTATATGCAAATCCAATGACTATCGTAGAGATCATATATCTGCATGCATTTACAAGAGAGTAAAAGTTATTCCCATTTCACAATTTCGTAAATTTTTTTATAGTAAAGGAAAAGAGAGAAGTATGAGATAACATATGGGACAGGTAATAAAAAGATATGAAAATATATATATATTATGAAAAGATAAAGTGAAATTAAAAATGCAAATTTGCAGCTAGTTAATGAACAAATTAAAAAGATTAAAAAAAATTATGTAATGATATTTTACATTGTCGTTCTATCACATATTACTATGTATAATAAGAAGTTTGTTGGTTTTTTTTATAAGCAAATTTATAAACTTTTATAATAATTACATAAAAAAATCAAACTAATGATGATTTTTTATTAATCAATAGGGTAATAACAAAAAATATTTTTTTAATTTCTTACATTAATTAAATCTATTTTGTATCAACTAACTAGTTAGTTAGTTAGTTAGTTAGTAAATGAAACTAAACTTAATCTTTTTAAACAAAGTCTCAAATTTAAATTTTATAGATTAAAAAACATAATTAAAAAAATTCAGTATAAGTGATCGATACAGTTATCCAAAATCCTTCTCGCACTTAAGGTTATTAATTTAACCTTTGTAAAGTACTTGAAAATGAATCCTTAATCAAAGTGGTGTTATATATAGATAGAGAATATTATTAATTAGGTTGAATTATAAAGTAGAAACACAAAGAATATATGCTTACCGATAAGCATAGACATCCTTGGATTCGAGTTTGTCACCTGTGTAATCATCTGTTACCCTGTTTATGGCAATGAAAATGAGGGCAATGAGCAAAAAGATGAAGGTTAAGACCCTCAAAAGAAGGACACTTATTGAAATGGTGGAACTTGAGTTTGTGCTATCCATCACAAGCTTCTCCTTAATTAGTCCTCAAAGAGTACTCAAAATGCTTGCTTCTGTTAACAGATCTATTTGAAGGTATTATAATCCTTGTTCGGCTACTACTTAAATACCTGAAGTTAAATTTTCGGTGTACGCTGTGATTAACAGCCCTAGATTTTGTATTTTTTTTTATTTATAATTTTGAGATGGTTAACTTTTAATAATAATAAATAATATAAAAAAAACCAATAGAAAACGATCCTTTCTTAAAATTACCAAGGTTTCAAAGGGCGTCGTGGTTAGAAAATAGAGAACAGTAAATTGCTTGGTTTTCTGGATGTCCAATAGGTATAAAATGTTAATTAATTAAATTTTTATGACATGATGATTGACTCTATGGTTTGCCCAAAGATTACAAATAGCCCTTATCTGTCTCGTGACTTTTTTTAAGTAAATTATTTCAGTCGGTTGAAGTTGATTATGTAAATGAAATTTATTACCATTAGCTTTAAAATGACTAGTATTTAACATTTTGCGTGCCACCTCTCATAAAGATACTTTTTATGGCATATCTGTCCTCATGCATATATACAATTATTTATATATCAACCTGTCGATTTTTACAAATAAATATTAGTAATAAACTTTTTTTATACATTTTATCAATATATGCATTCTTTATTGACAGTTAAAATTTTATATATAACTCATCAAATAAATGTGAAATTCATCTCGTATTTAATAATTTTTATTTATTAGTAAATTTTATATAAATTTACCAAATAATTAAGTGTTAAAGAGAATATTAGCGTGCTAAAAATATGTTGTTAGTATATTTTCCAATTTTAAATTACTTACCAATCTATGATCATAAAAACTTCCCTACCAATGTACTCTTCTTCCTCTTCTTCTTTTATGACGATCATATCTTTTACTTTATAAAACATTTGAAAGAATTTATTTAAAATTATAAAATAACTTATAAACTTTTGATAATTTTAATTTTTGTATTTTAATAAAATTTATATGGTTCTTCCTCTAATTTCAATAAACTTCATATTAAACTTTCAAAAAAAAAAAAATATATATATATATATATATATATATATAATCTTTTTAATAAAAGATTATTAAATATATAAGTAATTAAAGCATTCACCTAAAAGATTTTTTCTTTTAATTTCATGTGAATAATAAGTCTTTTGCCTACCACTAAAGGAACAATGGTGCTTGATTCCTTGGATTTGTATTATATTTATTTAGTATTTTTTCTTATATTGATGATTAAGAATGGAGGTTAACTTATATATTGTTTATATTATAATTAGAGCACGTCTTGCATGAATGTATAAATATATATTGGACAATTTTTTAAGGAATTGTAAGTTCTATGATTTTCTAATACATCAATTATAGAAAATTAAAGGATTTTTGAAATTCATGATACTCACATAATAATAATAAAAAAGTGTGTACCTTTATCCATAGTAGAAAACTCATTTGATCCTTAGAGTGCTTTGATCTTCTTGAGAAGAGAACTAAGATTTCACTCCCTTTGACTTTTCTTTCTACTCTCTCTATCTTTCGTGATGGCTAGGGTTTGAGAGAATACTTTCTGTCAGGGGTGTGGACCTTGTCTCACATTAGTGGATATTTATAATCCCTAAAGATTGTTATTTCCATCAAATAACAATTATTCTCATAAATGCTCCATTAAACTCATTTATGATTTAGTCTTTAATTATTTAATTATTTATTTATTAGTTCCTTTATATATTACATATTTCCCACATGAGACATAATTATCTTACATTCTCCCACTTGACTCATGTGACATTTCTCACAACGGACAAATAAATAAATTAATTAAATTAACATAATGCGCATTAAAATGGCTAAATCATTTTATACATTGGGTTCATCATAATTTCATATTTAAAAATATGAACTAATTTGAGTCATGGTGGTTGTACATCAGTTTAATCGACATAGTCCCTTCCATGTACTACAAACAAGTCTTCTTCTTAATATGATCATTAATAAGGAGCACATACTTGGTCCAACTTTATATCTTTATTCAAGATGACACCTGTTTACATTACTCTAACACAAATATGCATAAAACCATAGAAAACAGGTACTCAGAAACATATCATTGATGAGCTCAAAATGTCAATCACTTAATATAAAATAAACATGATACTCAACAATCATTAGTAACAATAATGCCCATATTTTTAACATGTTCAATAAATGTTTTGGGCGGTAATTCTTTTGTTAAAGGATCAGCTATCATAAGATTTGTGCTAATATGTTCTATTGACACTCTTTGTTTCTGAACTTCCTCCTTCACGACAAAGTACTTTAATTCCATATGCTTAGCACCCTTAGAGTACTTGTCGTTCTAAGAAAAAAATACTGCTGCAAAATTATCACAATACATTTTCAACGGCTTAGCAATATTGTCAGGACCGTTCTAATTTCAGAACGGGTCGTTCTGCATTTAATTTTTGCACATGATGAAAGGGTGCAGAACGGGTCGTTCCGGATTCGGAACAGGCCGTTCTAGCCACTCCTGAACTTCTATAAATAGGGGTTG